CCTCTACTTGTGTTTCTTCTTCTTCTATAGTGAAAAAGAATATTACCGTTGTCTTAAAAGTCAATCTGTGAATAAATATATAAACCTTTGCAATATATTTCTCCTTATTTAATATAGAGATTAAGCTTTCGGGCATTTATTGTATTCTTTCACGGGCATATATATAAATTACGATGCACTAGCGCGCCATCTGTTATCAAAATATGAAACTATTTTAGACGCGTATGATTATTTTTAAAATAAAACAATTTCTTTTTTTATAATTATACTAGCCTAATGACCCGGGCAACGCCCGGATTTTACCCGATTAAATGTTTTTATTCAAATACTATTCGTTACTATTATAAATTGGCGCCGTGGATGTCACTCTTGTGAAACGTCCCGCTCCAAACTTTGTGTCTGAGAAGCGATATTTTTATAGAAAGATGATCAAGCGTTTGTTTTCTGCTCGAATGAATGTTTTTCTGTTAGAATTTTGTTCCTGCGTACAAAATAATGGTTTCACCCGTGGTCTCTGCTTTTTGTAATTTTTCCCGTTATAATTTTGTATCTGTTAATCAAACATGATACAGCAATATCGTCATCATCATTTTCTGACTAAAAATATATAGTTTTAATAATTGATTTATATATTTTTTTAAAATAGCCTATCGTCTTCCCCGTATTTTTTTACCTATGTATGGAAATTTTGGTTTGAATTAGTGAACTACTGCGAATTTGTATGCCGGACATACAGACAGACAAACAGACAGACAAACATACAAACATTCATTTTTATATATATAGAGATGTAATTCTGCTGTCCTCAAAGCTTATGTCCATAGTTCATCTAAAATACCCATTCAAAGAGTCTATCAACAGTATCACTATAAAAGGAAGTTCCAAAAATTCAATATAACAGCGGTATGGTAAATTAAACTGGCGAAACCGCTGGGAGGGTTCATCACTGATGAGCCAGGCCCTCCCATTAATTTTTCCATTGCAGTAAGGGCAGTATAAATTGTTTTATTTTAAAAAGAATCATACGCGTCTAAAATAGTTTCGTATTTTGATATATATAAATATAAATTAAAAAAATCTAAACGGCATTCCTATACAGTTCCATTCAAATTTTATAGTCACTCAATTTGTCACATCACACCGAAATTTCCAGCATTACGGTACTTACATAAAAGAGGTCTATTAGAAACACCAAATTGTTCCTGCTGAGAAACTGAACAAACTGCTATTCACTTTATCTACGACTGTCCGAACTTTACAGGCCTATCTTTCTGTCTGAAACGATAATAAATGTTTGAAAGCTTTCTCTTTTAAAAAAAGAAACACATTTTTAGATAATAAAAAGGCAAATATTGGCAAATGAGTCTTTTATTCAATCCAATATATGCCTTTTTATTATCTAAATAGTTAAATATGGATTGCTCTATTTTCATAAAAATTACTACATATATATATGTAACATTATTTCATATTTAAATCAAAAGTTATAGCAATTGTATTTCAAATCCGAAATGTAATTTCGTGGTTTTAGTTATAGTAACTTTTAGCAGTAATGGCGCTGGTATGATTTGTAACATTGTAAAATCGAACGAATTCACAATTATTAAAAGATGTTTTATTGCAAGACACAAGTATTTTTCTTATCTCATAAGAATGCCCACAACTCCTCTTTCATAAAATATTATCTCAAATATAAATAAAAATATTGATTTAATAAACGAAGCATACCAAGAGATATATTTACAACAATAAATGGCGAAGAAAAATCTATTATTATAAATCATTTGTATCAATCCATTTATAATGATAATTATACAATTCGGGCTATTTTTCCAAACTGAATTCCTATACAGTTCCATCCAAATTTTATAGACACTCAATTTGTCACATCACACGGAAAATTCCAGAAAAACCTACATAAAATAGGTTTATCAGAAACTCCAAATTGTTCCTGCGGAGAAACTGAACAAACTGCTCTTCACCTTATCTATGACTGTCCGAACTTTGCAGAAGTGAGACATCGATTGTTCCCTGATCTAAATGATTTATCTATCTTACATCAACCACTTTGTCTATATAAATGTTATGAACTCTGTCGTTTTATACATGTAAATCTGTAAATATTTAATTCTAAATTTCGATTTTTTTGTTTGTTTTGTTTGTTTCCTCTGTATTAGGTGCATATACTTCAATCTCGCGTCTTTTGCTGATTAATAAATAAATGTAAATCTATAAATTTCTTTCAAAATTAGTTTTAACACTTCACCATCTAAAACAACTCCGCCTTTGCCGGTCCCAAGCCCGGATGAAAAAGGAGGAGGGGGAGCAGTAACAAGTTAGCTAAAAAACCTGGACTCAGATGGCCCGGCTGATAGCACCCTGTAAGGGCTCCTGATCTAGGGATACAGGATTAGCAGCGTTTGTACTCCATGTTAGGAGCGGATGCACATGGCGTCTGTTCCTCATGTCATAGGCGGACATTTGTAGTGCCCCCAGTCTTAATGACAAAGGCAGACGCTTTCTACATCACCCAGTCATGATGGTTGTCAAGAGATAAGAAAGAAGAATAAGACCATCTAAAACACCTATTTTCTAATTGGTTATATAAAATGTAATAAAAACGTAGAACCATTCCCCTATAGGGGGATGTTTGGTATTTGGAATTTCAAATTGCTCGTTGTTATTTTCAAGGTAATCCTATGCTTCCTCCACATACACACACACATTCGGGTATGGCCTCGAAGATGACGACTTGGCCATCCTGGCGTCGGCCAAATCCATCATCTACCGGTACTTCGTACAGGTTGGGCTGACCGGAGGACCCGCTCATCTCCTGGGAAAGAGGGCTCACCCGCCGGGGCACATCTCCCGCATGATCATATGTATATTAGTCTATTCATTTTTTCCATTTTTAATGTAAATTATTGACAAGAAGTCAATTTGTTTCAATTGTCACACATACACACATACATACATACCTAACACATTAAAATACAGAGAGACCTCAGGTAAAAAAGAGGTGTGGAATCCTATGATGACACAGTGATGAAAAATGCCACAGAGACAATGCCCCATAACTCGACTGACCTATATAAAAAGAACATCTTCCATCTGTTATCCAGAACAATGATGCCACCATTTTACTCAACCTCTCAATTGAATTCTTAGGATTTCATGGTGTGTTTGTCTTCACGTGATGATGATGATGATATATACAATTAATATGACAATTGTACATCATTTCAATAGGTACGTTTTGTAATTATACATATAGTATATATTTTATTTTGAAAATAGAGCAATCCATAAATAAATCTTTAATTAAAAAGGCATATATTGGATCAAAATATCATTTATTTTATGAATATTTCATAACACCTTGATAAAGGTTGGCGTTCAGCCAACTGAAATATTGGTAAAATAAATGATATTTTGATCCAATATATGCCTTTTTAATTAAATATAGTATATATATATATATATATATACTAGAAAGATAAAATATATCCGTGTTTATATAGGTATTATCTCATGGAAGTTGCTATTATTCTGTTATCTTCTCTCAGAGTTCATCTCTTTGTACTATTGTAATTTTATGGTTTACAGTGCCCCCGAAGAATTTTTTCAAGAAATGCTCTTGATGTCAAAAGAATTTGGGGTTGGTTTATGAAAAGACCCGAAGAGTTGTAATGGAATTCCTCTATACAGTTCATCGGGATATTGTCACTTACAGCGAGAAATCAAAGAGGAAAATTGAATTTTAATTCTCAGTGATTATTTGTTTGTTTGTTTGTTTGTTTTGTTCTTATAATCATCAAAACGTAAAGATTTCTTTGTGTGCAAAAAAATAGAATTCATTTTTATCAACGCTTTATACCTTTCTTAGTTTAATAATTATTTAATAGCAATTCGTTGCAGCCTATTTTTTCTGATTATTTCTATTATCAATGCGTATGAGAGAAACATCGTCTGATTTAAAGAAAAAATGACACAAGCGCCATCTGAAACTTTCAATTGTACAATCAGGAGATAGAGAGATGCTTTTATCTTGAATTTATCAAACTGATCCCAGAACAATTTCACACTTTTGTACTTTTATTTTTTTCGTATCGTCTGCATTGTCTATAAAATATTCTGGTCTTGATTATGATTATCTGAGAACTAATTATTACAGTCGAACTTGGATAATTAAGATACCAAAAGAAATCGAATTTTCCAAAAAATTATCGATTCGTAGAGGAAGAAAAAGATATTTTATTACTTAAAGGTATAAAACTATAAAAGAAGGACAAAGAGATCAAATTATATTTACATCAGCAGCTCACGCCGGCCTGCCCTATTCAATAACCGCTATCCAACTAACAATCCAACAAAGCTGCGATATATATATATATATTTAAAAAAGATGCATATATTGGATTTCTAATTATTTTATTGTTCCAATATTTCGATATATATATATAGGCAGATGTCAATTAACATAGACAATACTAAAATACTATTTAAATCACAAGAGTATTCTATCGTAGAAATATCTGTAATTGTCAACTTCAACAATTCTATTTTAAAAAAAGTGTTGAATAAAAGGGACCAAGATAAATATATTCGCATTAAAGGCGTTTTTGTTAATAGACGTTCTAATTACCCAATTACTACTGTATAGTAATATCATTTCATTCGCAATCGAACGTTGTGGCCGAACATGTATGCATTACACTGTTCTACTGTATAGTGATGTTAAGATGATAAATATATTTGATTTATATGGGTGAAATATGTTTTAATTTGTCTTCTATCATGTATATAACGGATAAATTATACCTATAATATTGTGATATATAGTTTTGTAGAACGACATCTGAAAATTATCCCGGATGTGTTTCCCCTGAACGAAAAATCGAAATTTATTTTAAAGAGATATAACGATTATTTCTCTAACCTTAGGAATGAAGTATGAAAGGATGAATTGTGAAGAATAATGATAAATGGAAAAATAAAGTGTCCAGGGATGGGATTCGAACCCACAATGTTCCGCTCAGGACGACTTTAAGCTCCTTATAGAATCCAGACGTCCCTTCGGTAAAGGCCTCGTCTGGTGTACATATTTCCTACACTGTTTTAAACTTTGTAAACTCTCTTTTGACCGTTGACTAGATGTCAATAAACTGTTTTTTAATTGTCAATTGTCACAGTGTTCCGCTTACCGGGCAGATGCCATGTCCACTAGGCTACCCTGGACATACTTTTCCGTTCGTAAATATTATATAAAGTGATTTATAATACAATATAATGCGGCTAATACGAACGAAAAAATATGTCCAGCCTAGTGGTATCTGCCCGGTAAGCGGAATACTGTGGGTTCGATTCCCATCCCTGGACACTTTATTCTTCACAATTCATCCTTTCATACTTCATTCCTAAGGTTAGAAATAATCGTTATTTCTCCTTAAAATAAATTTCTATTTTTAGTTCAAAAGAAACACATGCGGGATAATTTTCAAATGTCGTTCTACAATTATAAGCCGCATTATATTGTAATATAGTTTTGTCTTCATGCATATCTTAATATTAGGTTGTTATAAGGAGAGAGTCTTATGGAGAAGTACAGGGTGATCCAAAAGTCCCGCACTATTTTAAAAATTTATAACTCCGCGAATATTTGCGCTAGAGCAATGCGGTAAACACCATTGTGTTCAGGATGCAATGGGAATTTTTATGGCAAATAATGAAAAATTCGAAATTGATTTTAGTTACAATTTTATTCGCCAGATGGCGCACTACCAGAATCAGAGATTCAGCGGCCAAGTTGTTTGATAAATTGAAAAATATAACTGATCGACACGTATTTTTCCTTTTTGAATACCAGGAAAGAACCATAATAACATCAAATAACAAATTAATAAAACACCACTTCGCCAAAAGTATGAAGAATTGGTTAACAATTTTTAAATACAATCAGAGATATGTAAAATAGGTAAATGCAAATTAAAACATGTAGCAAAAAAAAAATTGATATTTTTGATATGGTTTGTGTTTCCGAAGATAATAAATTTCTAATATTTTTTTAATTCAACTCTCTCTTAATATATATTAAATTTATTTTAATTCATTTGAAAAATATGTATTTATCTCTGATAATTTATTTTACTCTGGAATGCCGTTGTTGTTGTCGTGTCCAATAAAGAGCCTCAGATGTATCCATGCATCTCCATCACAGCAGCAGCAATGTCCACTATCTTAGGTGTAAAGCTGCTGCTCTGGGTCTATGTCAAATTCCTGCAAGGCTGCGGCCATTGCTGGCTATGAGAATATGTGGGTAGGTGTAAGTTCCACACCAGGACTATTGTTGCATGCCCTATAGGTTATTGTGCCATCTGGATGTATTGTCATTCCTTTATAGTGTTTTGTTCTAAGTCTTGTTATAGTTTTTGTCATTTTTCTCTCAGAGATTATTTCGCATTTTGATCTTTTCTTATTTATTGTTTAATTATCTTGTATTTTGACAAAGAATCAGCGTCAAATAATGACATTTGTTCTTTCCTTTGGCTCAACTTTCTGGCTTTCTTGGCCAATTCAGATTCCATTTCATTACCCGCGATCCCAGCATGGGCAGGGATCCATTGTAGAATACAGGTATTCTCCAATGGTTCCATTTGGGTAAGTAACGAGTGTATTTTCCGTGTGATATTAGTATTGCCCTTCTGAATTGCTTCTAGAGCGGATATGGAGTCGCTGTATATTAAATTTCCTTCTGCCTTTGCAGGGATGGTTGGTTAAGGCATACATCAAGGGCTTTCCAGATAGCCGTCAGTTCACAAGTGAAGTTTGATGAAATCTGTCCTGCTCCTTCTTTGATTTTGATGTGCGTTCCATCTTGCAGTATTATGTTAATTCCGGCCCCTCCATGACTCAGGGTAAGGTCTGAAGATCCATCTGTATATGCTGTTAAAGGGGGTGGCCTAGCATTTTTAATCAAGAATTTGTACTATGAGGACATAGCCGTTAATATTTCAAACACATTAGACCTCGAAGCCCAAGATATCAAAGTCTACCTCAATCAAAACAAATCCATCAACATATACAATATGTATCACCCTCCAAACAATAAACTTATTGACGATGGAACAATGGCTCAATTTCTTACAGACAACTCTTATTGTAGGTGACCTTAATGCCAAACATCAACTATGGGGATGTTCCACGCCAAACCCAAGAGGCAAAATACTTTCAAACATATTTGACGACAATGCCATCATGTGCTTAAATGATGGGAATCCTACCCATCATTCATACAGCTATAATACTGCACAAGCCCTTGATATAAGTTTTTACTATCCTGACATTTTCCACAAATGCAAATAGCAAATATTAAAAAGTATTGTAAGTGATCATTTTACTAATTTGATAGAAATTAGGACCAAGACCAAAACCAGCTCAATTAAGAAACATTCTGGAACTTCAAAAAGGCTAATTGGATATCTTTCGAAAACACCATTATTAAAGCAGCCACAGTTTCAATACCAAGAGGTAATATTAAGAAATGGATTCCAAATTATACACACCAGGAAAAAAATATTCAAACACTTATAACTAAAAGAAATGAACTACAAAAAAGAGCACCCAAAACCAAACAAATTGTAGAACTGAACTGAACATTGTGAATGCAAAAATAAAAAGATTATACGTAAATGTGAAAAGGGAAAAATGGAAACAAACTTGTGAAAACCTGAACTCAAGAAACCCAAATACAAAACTTTGGAATTTGTCAAAACAAATTGACAGATCCCAGTCACAAACCGAAAAAACTAATATGATTAAGAATACAGATGGTACGCCAGCAACTAATGACAAAATTGCTGCCAATCTTTTAGGTAATTCATATCAAATAAGTAGTAAAATCAAGGTTGAAACAAAGGCCCGAAGGATTATTCATGACTGTAAAAATGTCACCAGCACTCATAATATTTTCCATGGAAAAAAATCAATATGAAAGACCTAGCTTATGCATTAGAAAACACTGACCTAAACAATACTCCTGGGCCAAATGGAATCCATGGCCGAATGATATCAAACTTGGGCAAAATTGGCAAAGAAAGACTTCTTAATATTTTCAATAACTCCTGGAAAACTGGAAAATTGCCTCAAGACTGTAAAATGCAACAATAATTCCCATTTAAAAACTTGACAAATCTGCTTATGACCCAAAAAACTACCGACCTATCTCCCTCACTAGTATTTGCTGAAAATTAATGGAAAAAATTATACTCAGACGACTCACCTACCACCCCGACACAAGGAATCTCCTACCAGAAGAACAATATGAATTAAGGAAAGGACATGGGACAATAGACCAACTCTTATTTTTCACACAAAAGGTAAAAGATGCACAAAACAGAAAACCAACTAACCACACAATAGCTGCTTTTTTAGACCTTACACAAGCTTTTGATAAGGTATGGAAAAACAAGTTAATTACAAAATTATACAAACATTTCAAAATTGATGGAAAAGCTATCACTTGGATAAATGATTCCCTTAAAAATAGATACATCAGGGTCAAATATAATGGCACTCTATCTTAAACCTTCATATTGTATCAAGGATTACCACAAGGATCAGTCCTTAGCCCAAATCTCTTCACCCTATTTATTGCAGGCATAGAATAAAAATTTCACATAAAACCAATATTGGACCTTTCGCTGATGACATTATTCTATGGAGCAGCAACACTAACTGGAAAAAAGCTGAAAGAGATTTGAACAAGACTCTTCTTCACCTAGAAAAATTTGCTAATAAACATAAATTAGAATTTAACCCCCAAAAATCTGAAACCTGTCTTTTTACTACCGATAAGAAACTATACAAAATAAGACCAAATATTATTCTGAAAGAACAACAATAGCAATATAATAAACATCCTAAATATCTTGGCTACACCCTGGATCCAGACATTAACTCCAGTAAACATATTGAAAGAGTTGTTAGAAAAGGAAGAGACCGACTAAAAATCCTGAAATGTATTTAAGGAAGAGTGGGGAGCTGAAGCAACAACACTAAAATTAACTTACACATCTCTAATGAGACCTATCTTGGAATATGGATATCAAATTTATGGTACAGCATCTGAAACAAATCTAAAATCACCGGAGAGGATACAACTAAATGCAGCTAGAATTATTACAGGTCTTCGAAATACCTGTCCTAATAATATTGTACTTTACGAGGCAGACATTATGCCCTTAAAGGATAAAAGAAGCTACAATCTGCCAAAATATATAAACAAAATCAAGAGTTATGAAAACAAACACAGAACTTTCAATTACATACTTAATTGGGAATTCAATATAAGACTCAAAAAAGAAGGCCCTCTCCACCTGGCCAAAAGAAATGGATTTTTAAAATATAAAGAGGAAAAATATTATTTAGCAGAAAAAATATCTCCATGCGAATCAATAACAAAATGTTATTTTTAATGCCACTTTAAATGAACCCACCAACAAACAATACCAAAATCCAGAATACTTAAAACAATTATCATTAGAAATAATTAATAACATTCCTAAAATATACCGATGGTAGCAGAGACGAGTTGGGACACACTGGCAGTGACTCTCTCATTAAAACCACAAATGGCAATGAGAAAATAAACAGAAGAAACCCAGATTTTTGATCAGTCTTCAGATCCAAACTTATAGCCATCTATGAAGCCTTAAAATCCATCAGAAACACTAAACATCACGATATATGGATTCTTACTGATAGTAGAAGTGCCATACAACACTTGAGTCACACAAGGGAACTTAGAGACAAAGTAAGCAGGAACATAATTGGTTATCTCCAAAAACTCTCAATACCTCAAAAATTCACCTTCAATGGATACCCTTACATGTTAGTATTGAAGGCAATGAAGCTGCTGATGCGCTAGCGAAAAAAGGCACAAAAGAACCCTTACTACAGAAAAATAAACTTACTTTTAAAGAAATAGAAACAGTAGCCAAAACAAAAATAAACAAGAACTGGAGGATCCCACCTAAGCACAGTTGGTACACCCTAGAAGCAGATGGCCACCCAGACCTTTCGGTCCACAAGCCGGCATCCGAAGCATGCCCTTCGCTGCTATTCTGTTCAACTCATAAGCCAAGTAACAGTATCCAAGCTAGAGCTTGGACATTGTACCTGGAAACACCACCTCCCAGACAACGTGTCTGGAAGGATTTCTATTCCGGTGGCCTTTAAAC